GGACACATACCGCCAGAACGTCAAAGGGTCCAGGCAATTTTCTGGGATGGGGAGACTACAATGTGTGCTAGCTGTCGAAGGAATAGATGAGCAGACAAGGCAAACAAATGTCAGGAGTCTCATTGGGTCAAGAGTTAGCAATGTATACAAACAGGTATCAGGCTGTGGAGGAAGCACAATGCTACCAGGCCAAGAGGAAACTAGTTATACTGGCGGTCCAAAGTCCAAGGCACTGGGGGAATCTAGCAAACAGTCAAACAGAAAATAAGAAAAACTGTTGATGGGCAGGAATAATGAAAGGGTTTCTTTTCGTCTTTTCTTGTGTAACTAAGATATTAATGTAAACATACTCATAACATAATTAATAACTATGACTGAATTGGAAAATGTCAAGGCCTATGTTCTATTCAAAAGTAAGCACAGGCTGTTCATAGTTCTTCTTTGGACACTGCCATGTTGGTGTGTTAAATACAACGGAAACGATAACACTGAAGAGTTTTATGATTGTTAATATGTTACCGTCCCAAACTTTCTGATGGTCAATTACTAGTGGTAAATTTCACATCAGCATGCAATCTGCAACATGATGAAGTTGCAGAAAGTTAATTTAAACTTTTCTATCAGGAAAATGAAATCATTCAGACATAGATTCATGACAAGTGAAATATGATGGAAGTCAGACTTCAGTGATCCCCAAACACTCCTTTCAACTCACATTTTCCTTCTGGACATCATTCTGTGCCTTCCAAACATCAGCTCTCTCATAACATTTTGTGGCAGAGCTGCTGTACCGAAGACCATGTCACTCAGCTCTTCGGTCGAATCGCTCAGGTGACGTGCATGACTTTATACGGTTACCAGAACTATATAACTTGTATATGAGCACATTTATGTTTTCAATTTTAAGGGTTTTTTTTATAGTCACAACTTTGATAATTTTAAATTGCTCTTAAAGCTTTCGTGGTTGAAAGAATAAAAACACTCAATTTTTCCTCTAACTTTTAAAGTAATTTGTGGGGAGGTATTAGTAGTTTCAGTGCTTGTTTAGTGGTTTTATAGTATTGTTTGTAGAACACCTAAAAGGCAGTCTTTCAGAAAGTTACTAGAATCATGATTCATGGCTCCCTTACTCCAACATCCTGCATCAGGACCTGCGGGGATGGGGGAGTGCAAAAAATTGATTTTATTTTACTTTGCTTTGTGGTGCTGGGAACTGAGACCAGGGCCCAGTGCATGTCAGATAAGCACTTTATTGCTGGGCTAGACTTTTACTACAGATTTCTCCTTTTAAGTAATACTTCCAGGTAATTCCTATGCACAGAGCCTTGCGTTTCATTTCTAGCACCAAAGAACCCAGTGTGGTGGTCCATTTTCTGTAATCCCAACACTTGGGAGGTAGAGGCTGGCAGGTCAAAGTTCAAGGTCATCCCTGAATATGCTGAGTTTGAGACCAACGTAGCATACACGAGACCTTGCTTCACAAGACACCTGAATGCTTATTTATATTAAGCTTGATATTCTGAGTATTTATGAAGTATCTGACACACTACACTTTTCACAAATGCCAATTCTACAACCAGCGCCGCATTTTTCTGCAAATACAAATCTCTCTGGGACCCCTTGTCTCCATTTGTACACAAAAGCGGGTCAAACTAAGATCTACCTATAATACTTTGACCATATTTAACAAGAGAAACCTATGAAAATGAAAGTCACATGAAGCTGAGAGGGAAACATGTTGTGGGGAAGCCCAAAAGAAGCTGATACGACCAAAACACATTGTATATGTCTACGGAACTTTCAAAGAATACAGAAATATTATCTTAAAAATGAGCAAAAAATACTATTTCCTGTGTCATTAGCTGCACAAGACGGGGTCTTCCCAACATTTCATCGCGGCGGGCATGAGATTCTATCTTCTCCTAGTTGCTGGGCACTGAAAAATAGCCAATGTTCCAGTAAAAAAGCCTCCATTCATGCTCATAGGAGCAACCTTAATTCAGTATGCCATATTCAAAATAAGATGAGAAAGCTGGAGGGGGCCTTCTTAGAAAGAAGGAGGGCTTCAGTAGAAGAGGTAGAAAGAGTGAGAGTCAGACACGAGGGTGGGAATTACTAAAAACACTATATATGTATGAAACTAGAAAAGTGTACTTGCTTGATATTTTTACCAAAACTACGTATGTATGAACATAGGTGTGTATGTGTATACTACTGCAATACAAACAAGTAGTTCATTAAATTAAGTGATTTTTATGCTCACTTTTGATTACAGTGATCTATTACAGTTGGTATTTTAATAATGTAAGCTGTTCTTAACAGAAAAGCACATTTTCGGAAACATATGGCTATAATGAAAAGACATTTTTGTGTCCTAATAAGCGTACTAACAAACCAAAGGACCCATAGAACTTGATGGGTCCACAAGTCAAATGTTACAAGTAAGGAAACTGAGGTCAACTTGTTTAAGTAGATTTCCTCAGGATCCCACAAGGGATTTAGGAACAGAGTGTTGCCTGGATTTAAAGCTTACACACACACACACACACACTCACACACACACACACACACACACACACACACACACACACACGGGGAGAGAGAGAGAGAGAGAGAGAGAGAGAGAGAGAGAGAGAGAGAGAGAGAGAGAAAATAAAGGTAGGTAAAAAGTTCAGGCTAGAGGCAGCATCGATATAAGAATAAATGGCATACACTTTCTATCTAGTGCTTGTGTGTGTGTGTGTGTGTGTGTGTGTGTGTGTGTGTATGTGTAGCTGTGACACAAACTCAAATATAACCTTAAGTGAATAAAACCATCACAAAATCCCTAAATCTCATTTTTACCTATTTTCAAACATTTTTTTCCTAAATGTGTTTTACTAAAATAGCTGATCACTGAAACAATGAAGTGCATTTCACCTCTCATTAATTTACCTACATAATCTTTGGTACTCATGTTTATGAGAGAAAGAAGAAAATGCTGAAGGTACCTGAAAAGATAATCAGAGAAACAGCAAACACAAATCACAAAATGACTTCAGAAAAATAAACATTCAGACAAGAGACAACTTAATGATGGGAGAATGTCATTGCAAACTACACAGCTAACAAAGATTAATATCAAGGTAAAGAATTGCAAATTAAACCCAAAAAAGCCAAATCAACCAACCTACACATGATCTAATGATCTGAACGAAGAGTTCTTAAAATAAGAAACAGAAATGGCAAATACATACTTTAAATTGCTAACCTCAGCCATCAATAAAACGTAAATTGAAACTACTGTGAGATTCCATTTCTTCCAGCCATACTGGTTACCATCAAGAAGACAGATGGCAATGAATACTGGAAAAAAATGTGGAAAAAAAGTGGAAACCATATTTAATACTGGTAAGAATGTAAATTTCTCAGAAGTAAATTTGTGCAGCCCGTATGGAAATGTGTATGGAGCCGTCTCAAAACAATAGAAATAGAACAATCACAACCAAGATATACCACTCTAGGGTATATAGCCAAAGTATTTGAAGTCCACAAAGCAAAAGATACTTTATGCTGTGACTGTGACTCCAGTCTAGGGACTCTGATGTCCGCTTTTGGACACTCCAGGTGTAGGTGCCCTTACTAACATGTGCATATACCTCTTCCCCATCCCCACATAATTAAAAAAAATAAAAGAAATTGGAGCTCTGCTGTGAAGGGGCCTCTCATGTAGTCAGCATTTAATGTTAATCATTCTTTAACAAAAATTACTTAAAGCAAAAAACAAATTAAATACATATTTGGCAGAGAATCTGTTTTCAAATTATCTCTTCACCAACTTGCCCAAGTATTTTAATATCTATCTCTCATGTGCTATTCAAAAAAATTAGAAAATCTAGGGAAAGACTATGGTCCTTAAGTACATAGTATTTTGTTATTCACCAACTGACTTGTTTCTTGGAAGATGGCCTCACACTCATTCTTCGGATGGTAGTTTGCCACTTTCTTTTGGAAACAGCTACAGCAAATATGTACCTTCTGCAATAGCCAGAAATATGAACACAGATGTTTAGCTCTGAATTTTGATAAATATATTACATCTATTATATATAAGTAGAATATAAATTTCTTAAAATTTTAAAAACATTTATGCTATTTTATGTGTATGAATGTTTGCCTACATATATTCATGTGTCCCGCATGCATGCCTACTATCTATAGAGATCAGAAGAGGGGGTTAGATACTCTGGAACTTGTTTTACAGAGGGTTGTGAATCAGTATGTTGGTGCTGGCAACCAAACCCTGGTTCTCTGCAAGAGCAACAAGTTCTCTTAATCACAGAGCCAACTCTCCACCCCCAGCCCCTAGCATAGAAACTTCAATATAAGGACAGAAAGTATGCCTGTGTAGAGTTTTTAAATCTTTGTGCCGTTGATAGTAAGTGATATTAATGACCAGTAGTTGTTAACTCTGGCTATTTATTTATTTATTTATTTATTTGGTGGTAGTAAGCCAATGATAATGGCACTGGGCTTTGATTCTACTGCATGTACCGACTTTTTTGGGAGCCTAGTCTGTTTGGATGCACTCCTTCCTAGACCTGGATGGAGCGGGGGAGGGCCTTGGACTTCCTACAGGGCACCCTGACTTCTCTTAGGACTGGAGAGGGAGGGGGAAGGGGGAGTGGGGAGAGTGGGAGGGAAATGGGAGGAGAGGAGGCGGAAATTTTAATAAATAAAAAAATCTTTGTGCCTTTCAATTAACAACTATGTCAATTCCCCCTTATGCATGTGGTTCTAAAATCAAGCTGCCCTTTAAAAATAAACCCCAAATCCTAAATTCTACTTGAAAAATGACAGTCTTGAAACCTGTGTGGGAAAATCACCTTGGATCACTTACAACCACACACACACACACACACACACACACACACACACACACACACACACGTATATGTGTGGCATTCAATATGGAAAGCACACATGAACTGCATTCAAAATGAGTCAGGAGACCAAAAGAGTTACTGCAAGTTAACTTATTTAATAGCACTATGAAACTAGTAACACAAGGATTCACAGTTTAAATTAACTGTTCAATACAGTTACAAAGAAAACTGAACACCTTTATGAACAAATACAGTATGCCTTTAAGTTTGTAGGCTACCTATCACATTAAAACTGTATAGCACATGATGTCACAAAATTATAGGGCCATAAAGAATTCTTGCGAGTTTATACCTCAACCATAATCACATTCATCTTGATACAGAAATATTTACTCTCAATTTGATATCTCTTTTATTTAGCCACATGGGTGTCAGACACAGGTCTTTACAAAAGTAGAGTGATCTAGACTGAAACAAATTCTGTTACTGTCCTTTTATTTTCAATACAAGCACTTTAGATATTAATGTGAGATGCAATTTCACTGTTTAAAATCACAACACATATACTGAAATTACAAATAAACACAGTAGGAATGTGGATATACTGTAGCCTCTGGCTTTAACATTATACACTGGTCAAAATACTTAAAACATCAAGGTCTTGGAAATTGGTTGAAAACTTATATGATAACGTCATTCAATATATTCATTTTATAGCAAATGTAGAGAATGGAGGGCAGCTGGGTCATTACAATCGTATGTAGGTTTCTGGACACAAAAGGAATTATGTTGTTCACCATAAATGTAGGTGATCACTTTTGGAGAATGGTAACTCAGTCTTTAAATTTGTAAAGCAAGATTTATCACCATATGTGAATAAAATCAGGGGATGTTAAATTATGTTGGCCAGGATGCATTGTACTGAGATGTTCAAACAAAAATACACTTTGCAAAAGGAACAGTATAACATAAATTGTTACAAGTTAATAGTCACACACAGCTGAAGAAACTTCTGACAGAAAATTGTCTTGATGGTTTTTCCAATAATGCATCTAATATGAAGTGAGAATGTCAAATACAAGATGAACTGAAAACCACTTAACTTTAGAGTTCTTGGAATATTCTGATGAAAATACCAAGAAAAGAATAGACTCTCTTTAAAGCAGTATTCTATATATGCCCTATAATTATTTGGTGTGCTAATCTTTAGGAAGCCTATTCTGGAGTATAAATTTTCTGCAAACAGACCTCCACTTTATTGTCACCCAAATTACAGATATCCAAGATACAGATGATGTGGACTCTATCCAGCTCAGCTGCTGCTTTTACAATATCACCTAAAAGTGAAAAACAGATGGTAAGCATTGTAAAAATAGTTAAATATTTACTTGGATTTATAATCACACAAACTGATGATCTTTATCTTACAATATTAATGATGGCTCTAATCTTCTTTGTAGTTCATCACATGCATTTATGAAACTTCTCCAGACAGAAAGCACATCTATAAATAGGTGCAGTCAATAATATTTTTACATGCATTTCCTAAAATATTTAGTTTTCTGTTTCCTTTTCTTTTTTACAGAGTAAAGCAAATCTACATATTTTCAAGGTCACAGACAAACATCTTAGATTTTAAAGAAGTTTGAAATTAGCTATCTTAGTTTTTTTATTTTCTTCTCTTCTTTTTTCTTTAAAGCAGCAGATGCAGAGACATTGATGTTATGACTGATACCAGTCTTTTTAAAAATATTTCTTATGGCTTATTTAACTTTATTTTATGTTCATTAGTGTGAAGGTGTCAGATCCCCTGGAACTTGGTCTTCTGACAGTTGTGAGCTGCCAGGTGGGTGCTGGGAATTGAACCCCAGGTCCCCTGGAAGAACAGTCAGTGCTCTTACCCGCTGAGCCATCTCCCTAGCTCCTAGTTATCTTATTTTTATATGCAATTAATTATTATTTTGGAAAAATCTACAAGGTCTAAAGCAAGCGGCCAATGTGTCCTATATATTTTCATTTCTTTTATAAGCATGTTTATAGGTGAATGTGCAAGGAACAGTATTCTTTCAAAGTGTATTTTTTTAGAAGTCAGACAGCTTTGTATACTCTCATGAATCTTTATTATTTCTTCTTCAAAGAAAGTAAAATTGAATTTGTCTTCCATCTCTTTCTTTGCCTTGACAACTCTAGAAGTCACTTTCTCCTGCTGGGTTAGCAAGAAGAAGGGAACAAGCCAGGTTCAGGAGACAGGAGTGGCTGACTGATTGCATTACACTTGAGCAAGAAACTGTACTTGTGCTCAGGCACTCTGGCTTTAGAACTGCTTTGTAACTATAGTACAGTTCAACCTACTGTATACAGTGCAGTAATTCTCGTCTCTGAAATCCATACAGGGAACCCTCATTACACAGAGGAGAAAGTGTTTTCGAAATATATGAAAATTCTTCTGTATTACACAACAATTACGAACTGTTGTTCAATGGGTACATTAACAATACTTTCATGTATACATATATATGTCCATATGTATATTCTTCTACTTCATGATTAAAATTATCCCAAGAAAGATTTCATATCAGTAAGATTTGCTAAATGATTTGTGATAAATGGCTAAACATTTGTAAAGTATAAAGCTAGATCCTTATCTCACCCTCCAAGTGAACTAATTCTAAATGGGTTAAAAATTTACATAGGCAAAGCAAAGCCCCATTAATGACAACCTAGCCCACTAAAAATTAAAAGGTAATCAAAGGACCTGAATAAAAAGTTTTCCAAAGACATACATGTGGCCTACATGTCCATGAAAAGATACTTAAACCATTAGTAATTATGAGAAATTTAGAACTAAGAATACCACCTGTCCATTTGTACAGCTGTAAACAAAACAACAAACTTCAAGCTGTCCCAAGGATAAGGGTACATGGGGAAACTCTTGAGTTTGATCCCTGGAATTCACAGAATTGAAGAGGAAAACTGAATCCTACAAGATGTCCTCTGACCTCCACATGTACCCTACGGCATATATGGGTGTGTGTGACGTATTGTGTGTGTATGTGTGAGTGTGTGCGCGCGCGTGTGTGTGTGTGTGTATGTGTGAGTGTGTGTGCATGTGTGTGTGAGTACAGACACATACATACACACACACATGAACATACAATTTAAAAATAAACATCTAATTATTTAAAAATTAAACAAAACAGTTAGAAATTAACAAATTTTGGTAAGGCTGTGGAGAAGCTAGGCTATGCATATATTGCTGGTGGGATATGTCAAATGGTGTAATTGCTATAGAAAACATTTTGTTTCTCAAAAACTTACACACAACAATATCATATAATTGAGTAATTCTATTTCTAGCTATTTATATGCACCTGAAGAACTGAAAACATGGAAACAAAGGCATGCAAGTATACAAATGATCACAGTTGAATTATTTACAATATCCAAAGTTGTAAATAAGCTAAATTTCTAGAAATTTATCAGACGAATGGATAAACAAAATGTGATATATAATCCAAAGAGAAATCATTCAGCTATAAAAAGGAATATAATTGTGATACATATTCAACACGGATAACCATGTTATGCTAAGGTAAACAAGCCAAAAACAATAGAGCAAATATTGTATGATTTAAATAAAATACCTTTAAACGAACAATTGATAGAGAAAGTGGAAGAGTTACCAAACCAAGGAGTTGGGGGAAGAGGAAATGAGAATTACTGCTTAAGTTCCTGGCATTTCATCACAATAAAAATATATATGTAAGGAAAAGAAAACTATAAAAAGTACCCTCAAAACAACAATTTGGGTATATGTATGTATATGTGCATGTGTGTGTGTGTTTGTGTGTGGAGGTCAGAGGTCAACCTTACATGTCATTCCTCGTGAGATAAAGAACTTTGTGAGATTCTCTCACTGGGGTCAAGTACTTGCTGAACAGTTTGTGCTTGCTGACCTCCAAACACCCAGGGATCTGCCTGTCTCTGCCTCTGTCACCAAGCCCACATTTTACATAAATGCTAGGGAATCTGAACTCATGTCATCATGCGAGTACAGCAAGCACTTTACTGACTGAGCCATCTCCCCAGAACAGGAGTGAATTTTTATAGTTTTGAATCAGTTATGCCTTTGAATATGACATAAACATGGAACAACAAATAAATTATATTTAGCTGAGTACTTAGAATAAAATTATTTGAATACCAAAGTATGCCTTCCTTTCAATAATTGCCAAACTGGGTAAAAGTATTTTTAATATACAATTGAAGGTAATTTCTTTCAATGTGAAAAGACAGGCCACAAGTTAATAATAACATGAATAATATTTGCTGGGTGGTAGTAGCACACACCTTTAATCCCAGCATTCAGGGAGAGGCAGGTGGATCTCTGTGAGTTCGAGGCCAGCCTGGTCTACAGAGGGAGTGCCAGGACAGGCTCCAAAGCTACACAGAGAAACCCTGTCTCGAAAGCAAAGAGAAATAATATTCATAGGAAAATGTAAAAAACGCTAGTATTGAAGTTTCTAGAAAAGACAAAAATAAGCAAATAATTAAGTGACTTATTTACACATAACATGCCTGGCATGCCTGGAACCAATCTTAAACACTCTTCAATGGGGGCCCATTAAAGCAAATTTTGATTTGGTCACACTGTAGAATATTTTGCTGTTCCTGAGTAGAATGAGGTAGTTCTTCCTATAAAGGCATGAAAAATTTCCAAGGTGTACTTGGGGGAAGCTGATTATAAAACTATGTCTATAGAATTCCAAAATACAACATTCCTTCCTGATAAAGGTCTTCGAGAGAACAGGAAAACAAGGAACATACCGAAACATAATGAAGGCAATATACAGCAAACCAACAGCTAACATCAAACTAAATGGAGAAAAACTCCCAGCGATCCCACTAAAATCCAGAACAAGACAAGGCTGTCCACTCTGTCCATATCTATTAAATATAGCACTTGAGGTTCTAGCTAGAGCAATAAGACAACAAAAGGAGATGAAGAGGATACAAATCAGAAAAGAAGAAGTCAGACTCTCACTATCGGCTGATGATATGATAGTTTACATAAGCGACCCCAAATAGTCTACCAAGGAACTTCTGCAACTCATAAACACTTTCAGTAATGTAGCAGGATACAAGATGAACTCAAAAAAGTCAGTAGCCCTCCTGTACACAGATGATAAAAGGGCTAAGAAAGAAATCAGCAAAACATCACCCTTCACAATAGCAACAAATAGCATAAAATATCTCAGAGTAATTCTAACCAAACAAGTGCAAGACTTGTATAACAAGAACTTTAAATCTTTGAAGAAAGAAATTGAAGAAGACACCAGCAAGTGGAAAGATCTCCCATGCTCTTGGGTAGGCAGAATTAACATAGTAAAAATGGCGATCTTACCAAAAGCAATCTATAGACTCAATGCAATGCCGATCAAAATCCCAGCAAAATTCTTCACAGACTTTGAAAGAACAGTACTCAGCTTCATATGGAAAAGCAAAAACTCTAGAATAGCCAAAGCAATCCTGTACAATAAAAGAACTTCTGGAGGAATCACAATCCCTGACTTCCAACTCTACTACAGAGCTACAGAACTGAAAACAGCTTGGTATTGGCATAAGAACAGACAGGAACTGAATAGAAGACCCGGATATTAATCCACACACCTTTGAACACCTGATTTTTGACAAAGAAGCAAAAAATAGCAAATGGAAAAAAGAAAACCTATTTAACAAATGGTACTGGCATAACTGGACAGCAAAATGAAGAAGCATGAAAACAGACCCCTATCTATCAGCATACACAAAACTCAAGTCCAAATGGATCAAAGACCTCAACATAAAACCAATCACATTAAACCTTATAGAATAGAAAGTGGGAAATACACTTGAACACATTGGCACAGGAGACCACTTCTTAAATATAACCCCAGCAGCACAGACACTGAGAGAATCAATTAATAAATGGGACCTCCAGAAACTGAGAAGCTTCTGTAAAGCAAAGGACACAGTCAACAAGACAAAACGACAGCCTACAGAATGGGAAAATATCTTCACAAATCCCACATCAGACAGAGGTCTGATCTCCAAAATATACAAAGAACTCAAGAAATTGGTCATCAAAAGAACAAATTATCCAATAAAAAAATGGAGTACAGACCTAAACAGAGAACTCTCAACAGAAGAAACTAAAATGGCTGAAAGACACTTAAGGAAATGTCCAGCATCCCTAGTCATCACAGAAATGCAAATCAAAACAACTCTGAGATTCCATCTTACACCCGTAAGAATGAACAAGATCAAAAACACTGATGTCAACTTATGCCGGAGAGGGTGTGGGGAAAAGGGAACACTTCTGCACTGCTGGTGGGAGTGCAAGGTGGTGGGAATGAAAACTGGTGCAGTGCCTTTGAATGTCAGTGTGGCGATTTCTCAGAAAATTAGGGAACAGCCTTCCTCAAGACCCAGTAATACTACCTTTCAGTACATATCCAAAGGATGCTCAATCGTGCCACAAGGACATGTACTCAACTATATTCAGCATTATTTGTCATAGCCAAAATCTGAAAACAATCTAAATGCCCCTCAACCGAAGAATGGATAAGGAAAATGTGGTACATTTACTCAATGGAGTACTAGACAGCAGAAAAAAATGACATCTTGAATTATGCAGGAAAATGGATGGAGCTAGAAAACATTATTTTGCGTGAGGTAATCCAGACACAGAAAGACAATTATCATATGTACTTACTTATAGGTGGTTTTTAAACATAAAGCAAAGAAAGCCAGCCTACAAACCACATCCCAGAGAACCTAGACAACAATGAGGACCCTAAGAGAGACTTACATAGATCAAATCTACATGGGAAGTAGAAAAAGACAAGATCTCCAGAGTAAATTGCGAGCATGGGGACCTTGTGGGAGGATTAAATGGGGAGAGGAGAGGCAGGAAGGGGGGCAGAGAAAAATGAAGAGCTCAATAAAAATAAAAAAAACTATGTCTATAGAATTCAATTTATGTGCATTTATTTGATGGAAAAATTTAATCAGCAAACATGGCAAACAAGTGAAAAAGGATTGACATAGGAAGACAAGGGGAACTTTCATTTTTACACAGGATTTTTCTGCAACTGTTAGAAATTTTAAATTATTACTGTGTATAACGTTTGTGATTGAGAAGAGAGTCGCTATTTGTGTTGACAGGATGACAACAGTGAGGCCGGGCGGTGGTGGAGCACACCTTTAATCCCAGCACTCGGGAGGCAGAGGCAGGTGGATCTCTGTGAGTTCGAAGCCAACCTGGTCTACAAGAGCTAGTTCTAGGACAGGCTTCAAAGTTACAGAAAAACCCTGCCTCGAACCCCCCACCCCCAAAAAATAGATGACAACAGTGTTATCCCATGAGTCACTGCTTTAGATCACCAAGCCTATTTGACGTGTTACATTAGAAGTGGGAAAAGAATGGGAAAGTTTGGAATTAGGCAAACTTTCAGATTCCAATCCTAGCTCTGTAATTCATGTTGGTGAGACAGAGCTCCAGTGTAGTTACCTGTAAGTAGGGGGTAGCAGTATTCACTGTGTCAGGCTCTCTATGAGCATTAGTTGAAAGGCTGGGCACACTGCTCATCACAGAACGACACTAACACTATCGATTTTACTGCTGTGCCATAAAAAAGTGATAGCCCACTCACAGTGAATCACTTTGTTTTTTCTCCTCTAGTGATCTGTGTCCTTCTTGTCCAAATATTAACTACCCAGCAGACTGGTACCAGGCACTTTTCATGTGACCATGCTAAAGATCACTGGAAGAGTACTGGCACTAGCCATGAGCAGATAAGTGAGAACTCTGACCCACTTGTATATCAATAATTGTATATGCATATCCCAGAAAGTATGCGACAGGGCAGATATGATATGAAGGGAAAATATGAATACAGAAATATTTCCACTAGTTTGGGGATTTAAGACTACTGAAAGACCAAGGGAAAGCCCAATATATAGGAAAAGATATTATAAATTAGTTAATTAATCATCTCTAAAATAGGAAAACAAATCCAGAATCTCATAAATTTAGATACTGAAACTCAGTTTGTACAAGCAGGCATGCCAAGTGACATCATCAGGAAGAGTTAATAAGATATGCTCCAAATCAGCAGAGCTTCCAGAGTTTCATCAGTTTGGAGGGATCCATCAGAAACTTGTCATAAATGGCTTTCTTACATACTCTCTCAAATGTATTATCATGTTGCACTCAATGAAAATGACTAGAAGCTTTACCACTTGCTCAAGAGATAGAAACTACAACAGAATAAACAACCATAATTGCAGAGTTAAGTTTTTAAGCACAGAATGGAGAACTTGGTATTGTAGGCAAAAGCATCAATAGCTAGAGTTTCACTATTGGGATCACATAGTCTTAGCAGTCCTGAAGGAGCAGAATGAATAAATAGCACATGAATAACCAAACATTTAAGAGAAAACAATTATTCTGTAGAATTGCTAGCATATTATAATTTGAGGCAATTATACAGCCAAAGTATAAAGGACAACAGGGAAGATTTACACTAATTCATGTACATACCCTGTCAGTCTGATGAAGTAATTATAAGCATAAAAGGGTTATTTATGGCTCACTGGAATGGAAACAAGCTATTTAATTTATTTAAAAGACACACTCACATTTAAGTCTTAGGGGGTACACTCAGCAAATGAGTTAAGGCTGCAGTAGTTTAAATAATAAAATTGAGAAAAGGTGACGATTCTTTATAGTCTTTTTTTCTGAACAAAACGAACAGTTACCTGCAACTGCCTTGGGATCTGGCACTCTTCCACGGCCAGATGCTTCCGGTGGGTACGCACAGCTGTAATTCATGCAGGTCAAGAACGTGTCTATTTGAGATGTCTGGACATCCTCCGGAGAATACATGGGTAGGAATGGAACATCAATCGCAATCTCATGGTTCAAACCTGCGAGGGAAAGATCACAATTATTAAATGTTCAGTAGATTAGCATATTTTGCTAGTTTCAGTCTCCTGGTTTGGTCATAATGTGTGTCTAATAGTTTGAGACCTGTAGAAACCTGTTTACCCACAGGGAACTAAACTCAAATTGATTTTGATAAGCTGTACCTTCTCACCAAGGTTGCCTGACAATCAAAAGACCCTTTACCATACCTTAGCCCTATACCTTTTATCTCTGTATTAAGTTAAAGCATTAATGAGCAGAATTTACGGCTTATAAAATAACATGATATAATATACCCATTTGTGAGATTTATTTAGATATGCCTCACTGTTATAGGTGACTATGTATGTTATAAAGTTAAGGTAGAAATAAAGTATCTCAGATATATTTTCCTTGCTTTGCAAATCAAAACTAGTTGAACATAAAAGCTCATTTGTAACTGTGTTAATAATAACTTTACATGGTATATTTAGGCTTAAATTTTGTTTGAATTAAAAAATATTATTCTAATAGTGAATACTTGTTTTCTCTGAAACAAAAATGGTTAAGAGACTCAGGAAATCTGAATTTTAATCATGGCCTGCTTTCTGCTCAACTTGAATGCGAGACTTGAAGCCATATAATTTTTCTGTAGCTCTAAATTGAATAGGCAATCAAATAAATAAAAGAATGTTCTTTCTCCATTCCAGAAAGCTCAGGGAAAATCACTACCAAATGGTAGTAAATTGGTTATCTTTATGGATCTAGTAACAATTACATTCTATCTTTCCTTTAAAATTCATAAATGCCTCATGTTTCATCTCTAAACCACCCTTGAAAACAGGTAAGATAACATTTATATAAAAATAGCACAGTTCTAACATTGATTCAATCTGGTGAGCAGAATGACAAATTTGTGTTCCTTATACCCTTGCTTTTAGCTGACTCATAGCCAAAGCTAATAAAAAGTGACAATTACATATGAGTCAGATGAGAAGTACAGTCAATCTGCTTCAGTCTGTAGCATGTTAAAGAAAAAACATTCAGTCTCTGTGTTTCTTTATGACTCTTTGTTTCAGTGGTTACTTTATGTGACTTATGGGAAATCTTGGTCTAAGTTTTATTTCCTAGATATGGAACGAAGTTTGGTAATGTACCTGATGAGATCAAGCACCATTATCAAGAGAAAACCATCTGAAAGCTAGATCTTTCATTATCCGTGGATATTTATACCTTGTACTACATGTACGCATATTTACATTAGAGGAAACAGGAAGGAATGGACAGAAGGGAATAATGGTGAAAGCAGCACTGGTAAAAGTTAGGACCAAGATAAACAAACAGTAGTTATGTCAGTCATGGGTAAAGGAAAGCTCCATTAGTTCCCCTTCTCATCATCCCCAGAATTTCCAAAGACTTGCCAGTGTTGAGACGCCAATCAATCTGATCTTAATTTCATAATTAGTGCTTCCCTCATTTAGTTTGAGCCAAAGAGAAATCCCCCCTTGGACTTGTGTCTGGGAGAGGGTGCTTATATATTTTAAGTCTAACTTCTAATAAATACATTAAATTTTACACAAATACACAGATAAATAAATACAAGTAAATACATTAAATTAATAGTATTCAAGAATAAGAGAAAAGCAGTTCACCTACCTAGGATGGTTACTTCAAAATGGCCAAGGCTTCGAGCACTCGGAAATTCATCGAGTTTGGGGGGCTGTCCTTCTGGGGGTATGTACTTTGCAGGTTGAGTATTATACTGCTGGGCAAGAAACTTCCCATGCTCCAAAATAAATTTCCGCGGAATACTTTCAGGATGAACATAACTGTAGTGTAGGTGGTCTCTCAAGCTGAACCTCTTGGCTCTCCACAGCTGACTCTCCCATCCATCACTTGATACTCTTCTGGACTTCCCTTTGGAACTAGCACTTGAACTTCCTCGACCTGTTCAAAGCACAATGAGCCCATAAACTAGCTAAATTGAAACATTCATTACATTACAGATTAATGAGAAAGAGTTAAGCAGCTTTAAAATGAAAATTGAATATCCAAAGGGTAATTTTTATTGAAGTAAGGGAAGAGGAATCTGGAGTGATGACTCAGTGGTTAAGAGCACTTGTTCTTGCAGAGGACCTAGGTTCAATTCCCAGTACTCACATAATGGTTCACAACAATCCATAACCCCAGTCCCAGGGGATTCAGCACCCTCTTCTGACCTATGCAAGCACCAGGAACATGTGTGGTGCAACAACATATGTGCAGACAAAGCAATCATACACATAAAATTAAAAAATTAAAAATGTGCAAAAGTTTTGAAAAAAGTTCAGAAAAAATTAAACTTGCTTTCTAAATAAATTTTCCTCCAAAATAGTGAGTGATGCAGTTTTCTCATTTGTTGGAATTGTGAAGATTTGCAATTATCTTCTTAATAGTATTTCTACATTTCCCAAATACTCTTGAGTAAACACGTTCCTTTTATTGTATGTAATTCTACCAAAGTGAAATCAAAGTCATTGCAATAGTAATATAGTAATATTCATTCATTTCTTTGTGTCAGTAGCTTCAACTGTCAATTTGATATAGTCCAGAGTCAGCTGAGGGCATCTCAAGTTGGGGACTGTCCATATTAGGCTGGTCTGCAGCCACATCTGTGAGAAATTACCATAACTGTAGGCAGTTTATTTCCTAGGCTGTAAGACAGTTTAGCAAGCCAAAGGAAGCAAGTCAACACGCAGCATTCCTTTAAGCTGTCTCCTTCAGCTCCTGTCTTCTGGTTCCTGTCTTGAGTTCCTGCCTTTAGATTCCTGCCATGATGGACTCTCACACGTACATCAAATAAATCCTTTTGTCCCCCAGGTTGCTTTTGATTAGTGTTTTATCACAGTAACAGAGTAGCACACTGGTGTCATTTGTATTTTATAGAGTCTCATGTAGTCCAGGTTGGACTATTAACTCAGTATGCAACTGAGGCTTGCCTTGAACCTCTGGTCATTCTCCCTTGGGCTCTTAAAGGGCTCTCAAAGGTTGGGGTTGTAGGTGTGTGCCAGGTAACTATGGAAATCACTCATGATTGGTAGAAATCACGTCCAAAATAAAACTTAATTTCTGCTAAAAGTAATCTGAACAAAACCAGTTTTTTTGTCGAATAACATTTCTCCTACAAAAATTTACATTTAGTGTGTATGATACTCCTTCCAGATACACATAGCTTATGATAAAAGAAAAGGGAAGTAAATTAATATTAAATATCTCAGGACTTGGGCTGGTGAAATGGCTCTCTGGGCAATGGTGGTTGCTGCTGAGTCTGACGATCTGAATTCAGTCCCCTGGGCCTCAACATGGTGTGAAGAGACAGCTCTCACAAACTGTCCTCTGATTTCTACATGTGAGCTGTGGTGTGCACACATGCGCACACAATCAAATGTTAAAAGGAGGTCTCTATTATTAGTCTTTGTTTTTGTGTATAATGTGTGTGTGTGTGTGTGTGTGTGTGTGTGTGTGTGTGTG